CTCTCTCTCTCTCTCTCTCTCTCTCTCTCTCTCTCTCTCTCTCTCTCTCCTTCTTATTCCCCCCGCCTGCCCCATCCCTGCCTCGGGACTGAATCTTTTTGTTTCAGAAGCAAGGGATCGATCTCATTCTTTAAGATGCAAGGGGTTGAATCTTTCTTTATCCCTTTTTCTTGTCGATGAACCTAGCTTTTTTTTATGCCAGGGGTTGAATCTTTTGCTTCGTTTTTGACGTTTCATTGGATATTGCAATGAACTCAGTCAGATGGAAAGCTCGTCAATGTCGGAACACAGAATGCCTTGGTGCAGTTTCAATGTCTCTGAAACCGTACATGTAATCAAGTAGCCCAATGTCTCGTGACCAGAGAAGAGGCAGATGGGAGGGAGGAGAGAGGGTGGACGAGAAAGTACCCATCAGCTCAGCAGATAGATCTCCCTCACTAGCCCACTCCTCCTTCGGGCATCCCCTACTCGCCACATCAGCAGACAATCTCCTCTGACACGCTCAGATCTCATCATGGCACACACGGCGCAGACTCCTCTGAAGACGAACAGCAATGCGCAATGTCGACACGAATGCAGACAGGTAAGCTTTCCTTACGATCAACCAATCTCGCAGCCCTGATCCTCCTCCTCCTCGCCACCATCCCATCAATGTTGTAGACAATGTGGCGAGAGCCACGCCAGCATAATAAAGTTTCCAGCTGGGGCCGTAAACAGAGAAGACGCCAGCCCCAAGCAGTAGCATCAGCGTAGTGCCAGCGTCAAGCCAGCGTCAAGCTAGCGTCCAGCCAACGTCAAGCCAGCATCCAGCCAGCGTCAATAAGCATGTGCAAGACTGAATGTCGGTCAGCAGGGGCTGGGTCAACATATAGTGTTGACTCCAGTCGACCAGCCTATGGTCTCTCAGATACGATGGCCCAGATTGACTCGCAGCCGATGGCCTGGATCCGTACAGTTGCAGATTCCCACTTGGACTTGATTCTTGACAGATACCTGCAAATAGCCAAGTGTGTGTGTCTGATCGGCGGCCTGGACTGGGTCCATCTTGACTTTGGAGCAATATTTTGAACGGCGTATGTTGTCTGGAAGAGAGTTGGACGCTTGATTCGAGTAAGCTGTGATAAGAACCGGATGACGAGTGTAGCATGCCAATGGATTAAATAAATTAATACCCGATGATGGCCGTGTGTACATAAAAACAGTAGCGGAAAAATCAACCGACGGAACTGAAACCGCTCGTTGTTAACCGAGATTAATTCATCCATTCACCGATTTTAATCAGCCCATTCATCGATTGCAATCAATGAATTGACGAGCTGAAGAGCATTCAGTGTTGGCGTCACCGATGCCACACGCGCGAGATTTGAAACAGGGGAGATGCAACTGGTCTGGCAACATCGCCGAGAGTAGAATGGAGATTGAAATCGAGAAAAAAAAAGATATGATAGCAATGGAGTGACCGGAGAACCTCCAGATGCTTCCAGATGCTAAGAGACGACAGCGTAGAAGCACACAAAGGGAGAAAAAAACAAAGTCACAAGATAGAGAAGAAGCTCTCACTGGGTGTAGTGATATCAGACAGTCAATGTTTCCTCATCTTTTTTTTCCTTTTTTTTTCTTATAACATTTAGAACCATCTACGGCAGGACTTGTAGTGATGACGAGTGCGTCGCCATGAAGAGACGACAGTGGCCTGACGATTACTATCCCACTGGGATCTCTCTCTCCCATGTCCCTCCCGCCATTTCCTTCTCCCTCACTCTTCCCACTCTCTTGCTATTCTCCCATCTCATCTCTCTCTCTCTCCCCCTCTAGGGGGGGTGTCCGATCATTGACACTCGTCAAAAGCTCTCCCCCCCCCCCTTCCCTCTCTCTCTCTCTCTCTCTCTC